AACCAAACAAAAATGAGGCATGTCAAAGAACTGCACACAAAAACGGGGAGGGAGGGATTGTTACAAGATCAGCCGCCTTAGGGTGACTGAAATCAAAAGTAATAATGTTCAAGCTAAGTTCGTGTTTCAAACTTCTGTGGGAGGAAAAACCTTTCAGTGGACAGGAATCAATGTAACCTGCATGGAAAGCTCCTTTGGCACAGTGGTCTTCCCCCTTGCCAGGCCAGGAGACCCCCACCAAAACTGCTGGCTTTTGCTCATGTTTTTACTATAAAAAGATAAACACAGAAGCTCTTTCCCACGGCCACGACCGCAGGCAGCCCACAGCAGACCACCCCAGCTCATAATTTCTGAGCTTATCCAGTGAGTCGCGCTGACATGACATAGGAACTAGTGTGTGGTACCCCTGGAAGGATCCCGTGGCAGCGCCCAGGGAAGAAGCGCAGTGTCAGCAGCAATCCTCCAGCTTGCCCCGCGCCAGCGCCATGCGTCCCACCTGGGCAGCAACATCACGCCCCGCGCCAGCGCCATTCGTCCCACCTGGGCAGCGACATCACGCCCCGCGCCAGCATCCCACCTAGGCAGTGACATCACGCCCCGCGCCAGCGCCATGTGTCCCACCTGGGCAGCGACATCACGCGCCGCGCCAGCATCCCACCTAAGCAGTGACATTACGCCCCGCGCCAGCATCCCACCTAGGCAGTGACATCACGCCCCGCGCCAGCGCCATGTGTCCCACCTGGGCAGCGACATCGCTACAGGCATGACGCCACACACTGAATCTTTGAGAGCACCGCAGGGGCCTGCTCTAGATCCGCAGGGAAACCACCCTCCCCAGCAAAGGGGCTGCTGTGACGACAGACCCCCGCCTATGACGTCACCCAGGTGAGGTAAAGGCGAGACGTGACGCCGAGGCCGACGTGAGCCAGGTTCCATGGGGTCCCCGCAGCCCTGCCTTCACCCCCCCGCGCCAACCCGCACACCCACATCAGCCGGCGGCGGCTCCATGCTGTCCCGGCCGCGCTCCTGGCCCTTGCCGGCGGCGCTGGGCATGTCCGGCTCTTGCTGTGGCTTCTGTCCCTCCGCGACTATTGCAGGACTCGACAACCCCCTCCTCACCCCACAGAGCCGACACCACGGTCCGCGTGGCCACACTGCTTCCGGGTGCGAACGCTCGCGAGAGCGGCTCCAAGTACCGCGAGAGCCACCCCTCCCCCTCCCCCCCGTCCCGCAGGTTGCGCTGGGTGTCGCGGCGGCGGAGTTCTCGCGAGACGTGAGAAACTCGCGTGATACCTGCGGCCCTTTGGCCCCTAGGGCCCGGCCCTGGGCCTCCCCCGGCGGGGCTGGGCAGCTGCTGCAAAGGCCTTAAAATCGAGGTTTTGACCAGGAATCGTGGTTTTCTCTGATTTAAATTTGTGTTTAAATAAAAATAACCCCAAATCCACATTTTCCCACAATTACAATGAAACCTCAATTTTTTGTATATATATTAGTAGTATTTCATTTAAATCACAGAAAAATGTGGATTTGGGGCTGCTTTTATTTTAACCCCAATTTTTTTTTTTTTTTTCAGTCAGAGAACATGAGGATCCCTGGTTTTGACCCCGTTTTTGGGCCCATGGCTGCTGTGCTTTGCACTTGGCCTCCTGGGAGTGCAGGCAGTAGTTGGCGCATCATTGCCCCTTTCAGTCACCATTGGAGTGTGGAGGTCAGCCCCTGCCTCGCCGGACCCCTTAGTTGTCCTCGCTTTCGTTCTCATCTGGTCCCCACTGCTGCCAGCCAGACGTTGCTGGAGGAGTTCTGCCCGCTCCATCCATCAGCGAGTCATGACAGGGTCTCCACGAGTTGGCGTGTGGCACGTGGGTTTTGGCACGTGGTGTCGGCGTGGGGCATGGGGACTTGTCCTTACCAGAAAGACCAAGCAGAGAACAGTGGGAAGGAGACCTAGAGTCTGGCCCCAGAGTCTGCACGTTATCTTCCTACCTGAAAGAAGAGAGTAAGTTCAGGAAGCCAGAGACCACAGAGACAACCATGGTGCATTTCCATAGAAACAGCCCCAAACATTTTTGAACGTGGGACATTTTTGAACAACCTGACACGGGTTAAAAGGAGGTGCGGTTTCACTGCAGCTCAGACTCTCTGTGGTATCTGCTCACATACAGAGGTTTAGCTTGTGGTAAGTGGAAGTCAAACTGCGGTAACTTGCATCTTTTGTTGCTGTAGGTTTACGTTAGTTGCCAAGGCTAAGGAGCATCCACACAGGCCGTTACAGCAGAGCATCTGATGGGCAGAAAAGACCCACCTCTGTATGCATCGCAGCAAACTCATATACCCTTAATCTCAGCTGGTGTGGAAAGCCTATTCAGATGCCTCATGGTCAGAAAGAGCAAGAAGCAAAGTAGCTTCTACTGCCATGATGAAATGCAAACAAAAATTGCCTTCCTGTTGGATCAGGTGTTTTGTGCTCTCTGGCATTCCACCATTAATGATGCTGCTGCAAAATCTAAGACCTCATTTAAAAAATAAATAAGGCTGTTGTCTTTAATTTGTTCTGAGACCCTTCCGCATATGCATTGAGTCCAACCTGGAGCAGTGATACTTGACTAAGGCTGCAAACAAACAGCCTGAAGCAGTAGCTCTAGGTGAACTGTCTTGTTAATCTAAGTGGAATGTAACTGAAAACTAATGAAAATAAGCAGCTCCTCTAGCTATTTAATTGCTGATCAATTTAGCGGAAGTATGTATCTGGTATACTTTTTCTACAGTCCAAGCCACATGTCACACCTCTGGGTCTGAGATGCTCCTACCTCTTATCAGATGCTGAAAATCTTCTCTCCCCCTTATACTAACACTTATAAATAAACAAAAATTTTGTAGCAGAACGAAAATAAGAGGATATGCTCAATAGCATACAAAAATTATTGACTAAATTATTTTCTTTCATGTTTTACAACTACCCCTTTTTTAATTTATTTGACTGTGGCATTGATTTCTGAGCTTTCAAACCAAAGTACCACAGAATCCCCCAATATTTGGGGTACATGAGATGTTACATACAGAGACCATAGCTCATCTGCTGCTATTCTGTTTGATTGCATTTTTATGGAACACCATTTACTTGGGGTCACTACCTGCAGTGAACCAAAGAGTGATGAGTAGGAGCCAATCTGCTACTAGAGACAGACCTGAAGCAGCAGCACCAGGAGCTTTGCCCAGAGTGGTCTAATCCCTGTGGATTTACCAAGGATTACCAAATGGGAGTGACATCACCAGCAGCCAATCAGATGGCTCCCTTGGGTATACATGGATGAAAGCCATATTACACTTAAGTAACAGGACATGACAGACCATGTGTTAATGCTAAATAATTTATGCCTCAGACATATAGTGAACTGCAAAGCCAAGCTGAGGCCTGGCTAGCAATTTATGGTGTAAATTAAAATTACCTTTTTTATCTTAAAAACAGCTGGCAAATGCTGTGTTTAGAAGTGCAATGTAGAAATGTGAAGCACTTATTTTAGCCAACACAGGATGGTTTTTGGCTAAACATTTAATCTTTAAAATTGTATCTTACTGAAATATTTTTTATTATTGTATTTCTTTTTTAATGTATTAGAATCTGGTAAGGAATTTTTGAGCTTTTGCACCCAAATACCACAGAATTCAGGCCATGTGCCTTCAAATTTAGGTTGAGCTTGCTTGTGCGGTTGCATCAAGGTACAGTGGTTTAGGGGTGTCAAACACGTTGTCTGTGGGCTGGAGCTTCTTATGGTGGCAACCTTCACCCTGATGCGAGTTAGGGTGTGGGTAGATCCAGCATCACTGCAGGCAGGAGCACCAGCACTGTGGCCAGATTGTGGGCTCTGGCTGTGGTTGCAAATCTTCTGACCCCAGTATTGCTGCAGCTACCGGTGTCTGGCTCTCATCAGGGTGCAGGTTGCTGTCTCACGAAGCCACATGACTGTGGCCCTGGGGCTCTGACCATGGTGGTGGAGCTTCAACCTGCAGTAACAGTGGGCTGCTTAAATGAGTTTGGGGTGCAGCCCACAGGCACCTGAAGGTCAGGCAATGCGGCCCTCCAACCAGTGGGTGCTGAAAGTCGTTCCTTTATTTATACTTCCATATATCTCTACTCATAGACTACACAGACCCAGGGCTACTTTTTAAAATTCAATTTTGCAAGCACCCGTAATCTCTAAACGCAAGTTGGCGCATTTAGGTATCTGTGGTTAAGTTTTGTGGATTTGTTTGCATCCACATCATTTAAAGCTGGACTGAGGTTAAAATTGGCCATATGTTTAACCATAAAATGAAGTTTTTTGAAATACAGAATTGAAATGGTAGAGCTGTTAAAGACATCTTGCTACAGCTCCAGAGATGCAAGTTCAGGATTTGTTCCATATTGTGCCAAAGGCTGTTACCAGATGAGCCACCTATAAATGGGTACTTCAACATTCAGTCTAGGGAGTTAAAAGTAGCCAGATATAATGCCAGCCACATTGCTCCTTGCATGCCACAGCAACTGGTGTGCCTTAACCACACTGATTAATGAGCCACCTAGTTTGGGATGGACCTTTGACCTTTTCTTTTAAATTAGAACACAGAACTGGTTCTGCTAAGAGCAGGATCATGCAAGATTCTGAGCAATTTCTTCCACTGAAATCAAGCTGGATTAAAGGAACTAAGCAACCTATAACAAATCTTTTAATCTTCCAATATGCACTTTAATTAACCAGGAAGAGAGATAAATATAAAAGGCAATATTTGGAGGGAGCTAGGAGTTTCCTTCTAAATTATTTTAGGATGAGAAATCAGAATATTCTGTGATTTGCAGAACAGCAGTAAATGTTTATTTAGGTTCTAAGGGCACTTTTGGCTTGTCAAATCTTGGTACTTTTGATCTGTACAAAGTTAAAGTGTGTGTGTGTCTGAAAGGCCACCAGGAAAATAAGTTTTATTACCAAACTACTGTACTGTTTAGTACACAATTAGTCATTGTCATAGTAAAAGATTTAAAAACTGTTCCCTATTTTGCATGCTGCACACTGTGTTTCAATGGATTAAATGCTTCATCAGTACTTTTCTCACCAAATTAATTTATCTGGATCCCTAGGCCAATGTTTGAATGCAGTTCGCTTAGTTAAAAACAAATACAAAAAATAAATTTTTGGTGCAGCCCCTGTAAAACATCAGGAAGCTACTGATTTTAAAAATTGCATACATTTTGTGGGTATATGAGAGAGGAAGCTAGGTTATTTATAACTTTTAACTGGTGGCATGTATATATTTGATACTTTATTAGTTTTGGGGTTTTCTTGCTCATATTTCTTTCAAGTGAATATCAAAAACTTTGCATCCAAATCCAAGTAGGAACTGGATTTGGCAAATCTAATTCCTTACTGGATTTTCCCAGCTTTACTTCCTTTAGGAAGTTTTTAGTCAATAAGAAACAAAGCCTCATTGAAATAATTAAATTTACAACTATTCCTTTTGTTTTACAGCTTCAGTCATGGCTTTCCTCTAGAAAACAACATTTGCAATTAATACAACTTCTAAAAAACAGGAACTTTGGGGAAGTACGTGTTTATGACAATAAGAAAGAGGTAATTCTTTTAAAGTAGAACTTCATACAAAGACAGCCTGTTTTAAAAGACAGTGCTGATAATTGGTTTTCTCAATGAGTTCTGGAAGAATAAGACAGCACACTCCGTTATCTCTTATGGATCATACATTTAAATGGGAGGAAAAAATCTTGTTGACACTTTAGTTATAATGGGTCCCAAGGTGATTTTAAATTGCTGGAAACAACTCAAATTTCATGATGGATGGTTAAACCTAGTAATCATTGCTTATACAAGTGAAAAAATGGTAGCCCCCAGGGCTCCAACACTTTGTATGTTTCTGAAACGTGGTCTATTATTACTACCATCATAAAGGTGCTTGAAAATGGAACTTGGAGAGTGTAGTGATCTGCACAGATATGTTATCTCAGTCATTAATTTACCATTGTTTTTATGTCATGAGCTCTTTTATGGAAATATTCATTTGAAAATCTACAGTACAGTTCTCTTTGATTTTAGATATTTAGTCCCAGTGAATCATGTATTCACACAGGTAAACTGGGGGC